GAGTCCTGCGACAGCGATGTGGTGGAGGTTCAGCCAGGACCACGGCGTCCAGGCCAACTTCGAAGACCACCTGACTTCTTCATACCGGCCGCCTTCACCACAGTGTACGTCGTCGAGGATGACGACTTGGCGTAGGACGACGCGACGCCGACCGACTAGGAGTGGCTGGCTGACAGATGTGCTGGTTGTCATGGAGCTGGTCGACCAGGAGTGTCGTCGACCTGGATCTGGTCGAGCAAGGGCGTGGTCGACAGGTGGTGGTCGTCGACCCAGACGGTTGACGGGCACGAAGAGGGGGGGCGCCGACTTGAGGATGCCGACTTGGGGAGTGGCCGACTTGGTGAAGTCGGCTTGTGGTCGTCGACTTTGGTAGTTGACGAGCACATACAACTTCTGGTCAACTTTCCCCGAAGAAGTCGACGCCGACCTGGTGGTTTCCAGATCGACCAAGTTACCCGGGCGACGAAGTTCTGTGGAGGCACGCGACAGTCGCCCAGGTGTTAGTGGCGAGGCCGATCTCGGTGTGGTATCCCGAGGTCAACGTGGCTGATCAGATGCAGTCGTCAGCGCTAGATTGATTTGATGGAAAGCGCGCGAATCTGGAGAGCGTAACAAGAGATTAAGTCCACCGACTTCGGCGAACCATTACGTGCAGCTCACGTAGCCCAAAACTATGAGCAGGTACGCGTTGAAAAGGTCTTAATCTCTATTTTCCAGAATGGTAAAGCACGCTTTCAACCAGGATCTATGCCGATCGCTATCGCGATTTAAGTGTGACGGGGTATCCTGGCGGAATTACTTGGCAGCCATGGATTAGATCTAGGAATGGCTTGAGCAAGAGTTCAGATTTGAAAAGTGACGAGTTGTTCAAACCCTACCAACCCTACCCTCGCCCTACAACAATCTCCAAAAACCCAAAGTGCTAAACTAGCAACACCAAAGGTGTTGTAGTGAATAGCAAAGGTTTCTTGGTGCTTGTTGGGTGCGAGATCAATTCCGGCCCGCAACAAGTCTAACCACCATATTTTGCCCAAACCCTTAGCCCACAACCAGCTAGAGCAAAATACCGCAACCACCTACACAAGCGGAGCGTATGGTGCAGAAACTCAAGCGAGGGCTCAGGGCGTATGGAGAGGCTCACAAGCGCGACTGGGATGAGGATCTGCACTAGGTTGCGGCGGGATATCAGTTCAGCAAGCAGGCGGCGCTGCGAGATGTGTCCCCGTATCATCTCCTGTACGGGAGAGAGCAATCTTGCCTGTGGAAGCGCCCAAGGTGCTGACGGAAGTGGTGACAGCTGGGACACCAGAACTGTGGGCAGCTCTGGCCAAGACCAGGGGAGACTACCTGCAAGCGCTTCTGCCGTCAGCGTTGGAGAATTTGCATGTGGCTCAGCTGCGAGATGCTGACAGGTACCAACAGAGGCTCGGGGGGCAGAGGCCGACATGCGGGGGGCGGCTGCAGGAAGGATAGGAGGTGTACCGTAGGACTGCACGGCAGCACACGCTGGACCACGGCCTCAGCGAGGTACGCTGGAGGGTGGTGGAAGTCAGAGAGTCAGGAGTGGTCGTGTTGGAGAATCAGCAGGGGAGGAGGGTCCAAGACCACACCACAAACACGGCAAGGGCGAGGTCAAGGAGCGTGAATCGTCTGGACCAGAGCGAGCAGGAGCCTTAGTCTGTTCCAGAGGGGGCAAGTGAGGAATGGCAATGACGCACTATCACACAGCAACCGGTATCTGGCGGATAAGAAGCTAGCCATGTCCCAGCAGCAGCAGCAAGGGAGGTCGGGTATTAGGGTAGCTTGGGGAGGCAAGAGGGCAGAGAGGTGCAGGCAGGGTGGCAGGAGTCAGGGGAGGGTGACAGCACCAGAGAATTTCCGACAGCTGTCGCGGTATTATGAAGCCAGGGAGGGCCACATAATGACCGGGACAGCGCAGAGGCTTTGTCAGCAGTGGAGCAGCAGGGATGAAGCAGAGGCAAAAGCAGAGGGGAGGAAAAGCGGAGGAAGGACAGGGACGGGGGCAAGGGCAAGGAGCAGCAGTGTACATAAATGTACTATATCGCTCAAGAATGTTTGGTATGAGAATGTTGGGATGCGGGCTGGGTTGTATGTTTCTTCTGTGTGAAGCATGTTTCCTTTCCTGGACAGGGCGAGAGCTGTTGACGCGTACAAGAGCAGCGAACCGACAGGTGGCAGGAGCTGCAGTGCAACATGCAAGCCAAGCGTGCAGCTGGCAGAGGGCGCGTGCTGGAGCCCATGCAGATCCAAACCGCCTGCGGCCTGTAAATACGACTCGGCACCCCCGAGCCTCGCCCATGTGATGTGTGTGGCTGAAGCGCTAGGCTAGGGAGAAAATTCATGTTGTACATAGCTATGGTGAAACCCTAGTGCTAGCTGCTTCGTTGTATGTTTCCCATTCGCTTCAATGTAATCCTGTTAAACCAACACAGGTGGTCATGAGCACGCAAGGGAACCAACTTGTTGGCAATTAGTGGAATGGCAATGACGCACTATCACACAACAACCGGTATCTGGCGGATAAGAAGCTAGGCATGTCCCAGCAGCAGCAGCAAGGGAGGTCGGCTATTAGGGTAGCTTGGGGAGGCAGGAGGGCAGAGGCTTGCAGGCAGGGTGGCAGGAGTCAGGGGAGGGTGACAGCACCAGAGAATTTCCGACAAGGAGGACCGTAAGCCGGAGGAGGCAGTGAGTGGTCCAAAGAGGAGGAAAGGGGACCAAGGTTACGAAGACCACTCACATGTGGGAAAAGACGTTGCAAAAGTGCATGCTAAGGCTCTTGCGGTTGCTACTGCGGAGACAACTACTTCAACATGAGCTAGACTTCAGGCTAGGCACGGGGCTTGAGTGATCTCTACGTTCGTTCCCTAGTCTTTTCCTTGTGCACACACTGCTAGCTAGTTCACGGGGAGAATTGGCAAGAGTTTTACTACGAAAACATGACAACAATGATAGCAACAACGTTGGCATCACAGACTATATCAGAGCTAGATGGGCTGCTGGTCGACCTACAGCGCAGTATGGTTGACCGCGATCTATCGCAGCAAAGCTCCAGCATTGCAGAGTAGCGGTCCGCCAACGTTGCAAGTCCATGGTGTGCCAATGCTGCAGCAGGTCGGCTGCACAAAGTTGCACCCGCAGGTCAACGGTGCACCTGCTTCGCAGGTGCGTGCAGCTGGTTGGCGCACCACTCCTTGTCACGTGCACAGCGCAGACGCCCGGCAGAGACAACGTCAGCGATTGCGCCCACCAGCCACGTCGCCCTCGGGATACCACCCCCATGGTCGGCCTCACAAAAGCCACCCCGACGACCTTCGCACACGTTGCCCAGGTATTCCGGTCGATCGGGCAACCACGCCTGGTCGTCCAGCCCAGCCGGTCGCCAGCTACGCTAGACCGACGTCCCCGAGGAGGTGTCCCAGCACCCAGGTCGGTGTCCTGACGCCTAGGTCGAGAGGGATCTTGCGGCAATACAAGAAGCCGAAAGCGCTGAGGCAGAACCAGAAGGCATGATGGAGATGGAGCTAGCAGTCACCTCTAATCGCATCTTAGGTACCGGAAATGAAAACCTCAGCATAAAGGAGCAGGAGCGACCAACACCGCACACCAAAACTCTTCACTAGATCCTGGAGCAAGTGAACACCACAACCTTCGACGATGAGAACCGTCCGCGCCCCTATCCCCGCGATGTCTATCGTACCATCGACAAGGCGTGGAAAGATCCTGACGCACCTGAAGAGCTCAGCATAAAGGAGGAAGAAAAAAAGGTACAGGCCAAAAGGAAGAAAAAGCTATATCAAGAGCGCATCGTAGCAGGCTGGGACGAGGAGTCTGCACGACGCGGTGCATGGGGAGATGACGACGGCACCGGAGCAACATGGGGATCCGCCAGTGGCGCATCCGGCACCGTTCAAGGATAAGGAACTGGCGGCTGGGGCGACTCAGAAGGAAGAACACTTGCCGAAGGTGACCTCACTCAAAAGAAATATATATATATATAGAGGGAGAGAGAGAGAGAGAGAGAGAGAGAGAGAGAGAGAGAGAGAGAGAGAGAGAGAGAGAGAGAGAGAGAGAGAGAGAGATGGCATAGCTTAGTCCTTAGCCATTTCTAGGCCCCTCTTCTCTAGGATCTAGTCCTTAGCCATTTCTAGGCCTGTTTCCTTAGTATAAAGGCCCTGGATCTAGGCTAGTGAGCTCATTATTCACTGGTGAGTTAGGATCACTCTCCAAATCCGGCGGCTCGTTCGAGAGAGAGCGAGAGAGAGCGAGAGAGAGAGAGAGAGAGAGAGAGAGAGAGAGAGAGAGAGAGAGAGAGAGAGAGAGAGAGAGAGAGATGGCATAGCTTAGTCCTTAGCCATTTCTAGGCCTGTTTCCTTAGTATAAAGGCCCTGGATCTAGGCTAGTGAGCTCATTATTCACTGGTGAGTTAGGATCACTCTCCAAATCCGGCGGCTCGCGCCAGCCGCCTTCGGCGGCCGCGCGTGAGGGGTGGCAAGGGTAGCAGCAACACAAGTCTTATAGCAGCATGTGGTACATCAAGAGCCACTAGCAGGGCAGAACAACAACACCACCCCCAGGCGAGGGAATTCCGCCATGGGGAAGCCCAAGGCAAGGCCCAGCACCACCGGAGCCTCGAAGGGAAAAACAGCAGTCACTCGGCGAGGATCCAGCACAGCCTCCCGTCCATCCAACGAAGGACGGAAGCGGCAGCTGACACAAGGCCGAGGGGGCCCTCCTGGGCAGACTCAGCTAGCCTCACCATTGCCCGGGGTCCGGGCCCGAGCGCTGCACCAGGGGTGCCCGGCACGAGGCCGATCAAGGGAAGATAGTGCAGCATCTCCGTCGCTGCAGCCACCGCGGCAGAGCGCTCAGCGGGCAACATCCCGTCAACCTCCAAGCCTTGTCGTGCCAAACACACGTGGAGCTGGTCCAGTACGTACGACAGCAGCGTCAAACACGTCCCCACGTGCACAACGCGCTGCTCAACGAGGGGAGGCAGCGCGCCTGCAGGAGCGGCAGCAAGAGGAGCAGGCGGGACAGGAGGGTTTGGCGGCGCAGGAGGAGCCGGCGGCTGACGCAGTTGAGGCCGGGGCAGAGGAAACTGATTTACGGGGGGATGTCGCTGCTGCGAGGTCAGGTTTGACGCGGCGGGGGGAGCAGGGTGCTGCGGCAGAGGCGGATCCGACGGGGATGGGGCGGGAGGCGCACTCGCCTGCTGCTGTGCCTGTAGCCGCCTCTGACGACGACTCAACCGCGCCCGCTGCGGGGCCGACGGCGCCACCAGCGGACGAGGTTGTGGCTGCGGAGGAGGCGCATGTGGAGCATGGGTCGGCTGATTCACCGGCGCCATTGGTGGCGGTGTCCCCGTCACCTCTCGGGGAGGTGGAGATTGCGGCGGTCGTAGCTGAGGCAGCGAGGCAACCAGAACAACCCCCGAACGAACCGTTTGCGCCGACTGCCGCTGAGTCCTCCGGAATGTCTGCTGCTGCCGCGGCCGTAAACATGCGGGAGCGCGGCTAGGCGGCGGATGGAATTGAGGGTCCCGTGATCGGCGCCGCTTCTGGCGCCGCACAGGCAAGGAAGAAGGTGAAGCTGCGCGCCCAGCCAGCGCCGAGGCGGCCCGGAGCAGGGCTGGGACCTGGGGTCCCGGGACCCCTCCTGGGCTGGCTTCGGCAAGGGCAGTCGCCACCAGAGCAAGCGCGTTTGTTGTCATCCGCACCACAGCCTGCAATGGGAACCGGCGGGAGGGGTAACACGGAGGCAGCTGACCGTGCACATCGGGGAACCGAGCAGCCAAGCAGGATGCAGCAACCAACGGAAGGATCACCCACGACCCAGCAAGCAACTCACCGGGAAACACGGAGCTCGACGAGAGGCCGGGGAATTGTGTGGGGCAGGCCGTCGGGGGCAGGACGAGCGACAATGGCGACTCCCTGGGTGCCGGCCGGTCGGGGTTTAAGGCCTGCACAGGAGAGCGCGAGAGGCGGCAGCGCTGGCGTACTCCCCGCGATCCCCCGTGGAGGCAGAGGGGGAAGAGGAGGGACACGCGGGAGGGGAGTTCCACTCCTGGGTGGCGAGGCTGCAATCGTGAGATCAGGCACGTGGCGTGATCGCCACGACCGCCCGGAGCGTATACCTACGCCTGTGTGTGTGAATGGGGGCGAGGAGGGGTCTGAAAACTCCCAGAACGGGAGCGAGTTTATCCCCTCGCACTCAGAGGCATCGGAGGATTTGGTCTCCCTGGGCGACGATGAGAACCAACATGTGTCGGCGCAGGGGCGAGTGAGGAGGACGGAGCAGGGTGGCATGCCACAACCACCCAACATGCCAGCAGGACAGGCCCCAGCTGTGCCACCACAGCCATCCGAGAAATCGCCAGCTGACCTGGCAAAGGATGAGTCTTTCTGGCACCTGGCCAGCACTTGGGACATCGCACCACTCCAGCGTGCGGATCAACCGTTCCTGGTGAGGCGGTTGCCCCCAAAGATTCTAGAGAGCTACAACCTGTGCCTTCTGGCCCCACTGTTGCGATTGGCCGAGAAACCAGACTGTGTGGGGGCGTGGACGGTGCTGCAGTTTTTACCCCGCTTGACCCTTCGACCTCTACCAGAGCCGGTGGACGGGAACCGCTGGATCAAGATTGAGACTCGGCTGCACCACTTCAGGATCGGGGATCTTACCGATCTCTACAGTGAGGCATGCGCGATCCCCGATACTGAAGCCCCGTCACGACACCAGCCAGACGAGGCAGGCCTGTGCGCGCGAGCAGAAGGCTTGATAAAGAAGGCCAACATTTCCAAGGCAGTGTCTGCGTTACAAGTGACCCCGCTGGCGGAACCAACACCTGCTACACTTGCAGCTTTACAGGCGAAACACCCTGTCGGGGAATTACCAATTCCGAGCTGGGTAACCAACCGCACCGGTGTACCTGCCTCGTCATTGAATCTGGCCCCAGGCGATCTCCGCGAAGTGCCCGAATGGAGTTGGAGCGGGCCCCTCTGGCACTTGTTTCGAGCACTTGAAGGACCCGGCCCACAGCAGCGAGCGAGTCCTACTGCTCCTCACAAAGGTCATCGGCCAGCTACTTAACAGTTCACAGACAAGGGAGATATGCGACGTGCTCCTCCCGTCACGGCTGATAGCACTCGAGAAGCCAGGGGGGGGCGTTCGACCCATCGCTATAGGCGAGGCCTTGCTTAGAGTCGCGGCGAAGGCGGCGCTACGCGAGTTAGCCCCAACGATCCGTGAATTCTTCCTCCCGGTCCAGTATGGCGTGTCAGTGCCTGGTGGCGCCGAATGCGTCATTCATTCCGTACGGGCCCTGCTCCGAGAACATGACAACTACGTAGCGCTCCAGCTGGACGTAGAAAATGCGTTCAATTCGGTTGAGCGGGAGGCGTTCTTCACGGCGCTAGAAATCTCGGACTTGCACCAGCTGCTGCCGTTCGTAGGGCTGCTGTACGACTCGCCATCGCGCCTTCTAGTTGACCCGGCCCTAGGAGTTGAGCACATCTTGAGCTCCCGCGGCGTGCGTCAGGGCGATCCCCTCGGCCCTCTCCTTTTTGCAGTAGCGATTCAACCGACCCTAACGTGCGGGGCATCTTCTCATCCAGGGGCGGCAGTCATAGCGTACGCTGACGACATCACAGTGGTAGGGCCGCGGGAGGAGGTGTTCAAGGCCTTCGATGCCATCGTCGAAGAGCTGGCAAAGTGCGGGCTACGGTGCAACGTGGCAAAGTCATCGGCATGGGGACCGCGAGAGGGAAACGAGGGGCAGCTGGGACTGCCACAGGGATTACGGATGAGCACCGGGGGGATCAAGGTGCTTGGCAGCCCCATCGGCACGCCGGAGTACTGCACTGCTGAGATCCGTCAGGCGCTCGCCAAAGCATCGGCACCTGTCCCTCTTATAGCGCAGCTGCACCCACAACACGCCCTGCTACTCCTCTCCCGCAGCATCTCCCGCAGGATCTCCTACCTGCTTCGCACCACACCAAGCATCACGTTGGACCGGGAGGAGTGGAGAGGATGGAGCGAGTCGTTGGTAGGGGCGGCGCTTACAGCCGCCAAGCTACGGATCCCTGCGAGTGAGCTGGAACAGAGCCTCTTGTGGCGTCAAGCGACCCTGCCCGTGTGCCTTGGGGGGTTGATCATCATTGATCCCGTTTCTGAGGCACCGGCGGCGTATATTGCATCCCTGACAGCAGCGCATCACCTGCTGCAGCAGATGAACTTGCGGGAGCAGGAGCTGTTGGCACGGGCCGAGACGCTGCTGCCCAGAGATTGGGTCCCCCCGCCCCCAGCGTCAAACTATCTGGTGGCACTAGAGGAGGGGCTGCCGACAGAGGCAAGGACAGCACTACAGACCTACCGGGAAGGCCCCCAGGGGCAGGGTAACCTGCAGCTCCTCTTGTCCAAGCACATCAACTCGGTACGGGCCAGGGAGCTGCTAGCCGACACTATGGTCGACAGACCGGGGGAAGACCAGGGGCACGGGGTACGGCTAGTGAGTTTGAAGGGAGTGGGGGCCGGGGATTGGCTGCACGCAGTGCCGACGAGATCTGACCTTACATTTGCCCCTGGTCAGTTCTCGTTGGCACTCGGGTTCCGCCTCGAGATGGCCCTACCAGTCACGGTCAAGTGTCCCTGCAAGCGTGACAACTCGGAAATCAAGGATACTAGTCTGGCAAATCACCTGCTCCGGTGTGGGGAAGGGGGGGACGTGGTGAGGACGCATAACTCCCTGGTCTACACGGCTTTGAGATTGGCGAGGGAGGCGGGTTTCAACACCTTCCATGAGACATCGGTGTTTTCCCCCCCGGTCCACCGCAAGAGGGCAGACCTGGCGTTCCAGGATAGGGAATCAGCGGAGACCTGGGTCACGGATGTAACGGTGACCGACCCAGTGCTACAGAAGCGGGACCCCAGGGTGCGGAAGCCACCGGGGTGGGCTGCCAAGGAAGCTTCCGAGAAGAAGCACCGCCTGTATGATGGTCGCCCTGACTATGTGGGGTGTTTCGGCCTAGCAGCTGAGACCTACGGGGCGCTGGCGACCGATACTGTGCAGTTTCTTAGGCTGCTAGCTGTGGCCACAGCGAGGAAGAAATTCAGGCAGGGGCCGCTCACCACCACCGCCTCTCGCCTCAATGCTCACTACCGCCAACGCTGGTCAGTCATGCTGCAGCGATCCCAGGCGATCTCGTTCCTTAACAAGAGCAACATGGCAGCTGAGGCAGCCTTCCCCCAAGCACCTGCGGACCCCTGGGAGCCGAGCCTAGGGGACCTCTGGCAGGTGCTTGATGATGACCTTGCAGGAGTGTAAGCGCAGCCGGGGGTGAACCAGGGATGTAGGGTTGACCAGGAGGTTGTGAGGACCTAGGCAACTCAATTGGTAGCGCCAGGCCTGCCATGGCAGTGGCCACTTGGTGAACTTCCTTAGCATCTCATTGCTGGTCTTGTTTACATGCTGGTTTATCTGCCCTACATGTTGCCTGCCTAGGTTAGCATATCGGCCAGTGTCATATCCTGCATGCCTGTACCCTTTCACCAACATTAATGCATGACTGCTTGAGAGAGAGAGAGAGAGAGAGAGAGAGAGAGAGAGAGAGAGAGAGAGAGAGAGAGAGAGAGAGAGAGAGAGAGAGAGAGAGAGAGAGAGAGAGAGAGAGAGAGAGAGAGAGAGAGAGAGAGAGAGAGAGATGGCCGCTGAGAGACATCCTCCAAGAATCGTCGTTCCATTCGGACGACGACTATGAAATCCCCCTTCGCCACCCCGCTCACCTTACAAGTGGGAAGACCCCTGGTCGGAGATTGAGGAGGGGAACATGCCAGCAACTCCGCCTCACGACTCGCTTGGACCAATCTCCCGCCCAAATCCGTTCGTCCGCTTCATCGAGGAACAGCGGCCAAGCTGCAGTCAGCGGCGAACAAGAACGTGCAGGCGGGGGTGGTGCCACCCATGGCGCACGAGAAGGCAGGGATGGGTTTGTCAGGAAAGGAACTAATAATGTGATTGATGTGAGTTGGGGTACATATAACAAACCCTAACCTCTGTACCCCCTAAGACAAACCTCACTAAGGCTACAACATTTGACACACCCCCATAGCCTAAGTGAGGGGTGTCTAGCAAAACCAAAAGTGTACGGTCACAAGACCAGTCACAAAGATACAAAGCTTAGGGTGGATCACAACGTCACCACACACTCTGAGCACAAGCAACAGTGGCCACAAGGCCAGTCCAAGAGTTCACAAGTGTGTATAGCAAGAGTACAAGCAAAGCAAACAGTAAACTCAAGCCTATACACGACTAGAACCTGTGTCAACAAGGCCTAACTGCACACAACACCTCTGGTGGTCACAAGGCGGAAGCGCCTTGGTGAAGATGTCTGCAGTGTTGGCCTCGGACTCCACAAACTCGAAGCAAGCCTGTCCACGTCTCTGCAACTCTCGCAAAAGGAAGTACCTGACGTGAATGTGCTTCACTCTGCTCTCTAGTCGTGGCTCACGACAGAGGAGAATCGACGCCTTGTTGTCAGTGAACAAGGTCGGCGCGGAGCTCGGCCACTCACCAAGGTCAGCGAGCAAAAACGTCAACCAACGCAGCTCCTGTGCCGCCATGGTACCAGCGTAGATCTCAGCCTCAGCTGTAGAGGTCGAGACCGAAGAGGAGCGCGTGGACCGCCAGGAAACAGCTCCACAACCCAAGCTGAAACAGTACCCCTGAGTAGACCTGTGAGTCTCAGCGTCGTTAGCGTAAGAAGAGTCACAGTGACCAGTAAGTACGACAGGCTGCTGCCCTCCAAGAACTAGCCCCACGCCTGATGTCGTCGCTAGGTACTTCGCCACCCTCACAGCTGCCGTCCAGTGAACAGGACGGTGCCTCCCTGGCGCAACAAAGCGAGCAAGGACGCTGAGAGGGAAGGCGAGGTCCGGGCGAGTACAAGTCATCAGGTACATGAGGCAGCCCACTAGCTCTGCGTAGGGACCACTGGACTCAAACGGCTCGTCAGGAAAGGGTCCAGTGAGTCTGTGGTCAACAGCAAGAGGTGTGCGCTGTACTGTGGAGTGCTGAAGCTCGAACCGCTGAAGGACCTGCTGCATCATGTGCGACTGTGAGAGTGTAATGGTGCGAGCAGCTCTGTCCTTGGTGATCTGCAGGCCATGGTAGTGACGCAGCTCACCAAGGTCAGTGCACGTGTGTCTCTTCTGCAGTTCGAACTTCACGTCTGCCAAGGCAACCCTGTCAGCAGTGGCGAAAACTGTTAGAATGTAGAACTGAACGAGAATGTGTGAAACTAGGCAGCAGGGTGATACAAGTAGGAAACCCTAGCAATGTTGTACCCCCTAAGGCTAAACCCACTATAGCCTACACAATATGAACATGTATAATGTTTGACACACCCCCATAGGCTAAGTGGGAGACAACCAGATG